TGCTTCTTCAACTTCATAGAGACCGACTTCTTTCAACTCCAACCGCCATTAAAGCTGCCCAAAACCCTCTGAACCAAAACAGCTTCGAGCACAACTACAGGCAAATCTGCAACCTTCTTCTTTCCTTCACCCATTCCCGATCACTCGTTAAGGGCCTCCAGCTCCATGCCCACATCGTCAAATTCGGATTACAGACCATCCCTCTCGTCTCCCACCATCTGATCAACCTCTACTCCAAGACCCAATTGCCGCATTTTTCTCTGCAGGTTTTCGATGAAACTCCGACCAAATCGCCCACCACTTGGAGCTCTGTTATCTCTGCATTTGCCCAAAACGAGGCCCCGTCTCCTGCCCTTGAGTTCTTCCGACGCATGGTCAGTCTTGGGATTCGGCCTGATGATCATATATACCCCAGCGCGGCCAAATCGTGTGCTTTTTTGTGTAGGTGTGATGTTGGGAAATCTGTGCATTGCCTTGTTGTGAAGACTGGATATGATTGTGATGTGTTTGTTGGGAGTTCGCTGGTGGATATGTATGCGAAGTGTGGAGAGATTGGAGATGCGCGCCATGTGTTCGATGAAATGCCTGAGAGGAATGTGGTGTCTTGGAGTGGGATGATTTGTGGGTATGCTCAAATGGATGAAAGTGTGGAGGCATTGACTCTGTTCAAGCAAGCTTTGGTTGAGAATGTTGATGTTAATGACTTCACATTCTCGAGTGTGATTCGGGTTTGTAGCAGCTCGACGCTTCTCGAATTGGGGAAGCAGATCCATGGATTGTGCTTGAAGACGAGCTTTGATTCCTCAAGCTTTGTTGGGAGCTCTTTAATTTCTCTGTACTCGAAGTGTGGGGTTATAGAAGGGGCTTATCAAGTTTTTGAAGAGATACCCATAAGAAATCTTGGTATGTGGAATTCAATGCTGATAGCTTGCGCTCAACATGCGCATACAGAGAAAGTGTTTGGTTTCTTTGAGGAAATGGAGAATGTGGGGATGAAGCCAAACTTCATTTCTTTTTTGTCTGTGCTTTATGCTTGTAGCCATGCTGGGTTGGTTGAAAAGGGACAAGAATACTTCAATCTAATGAGAGATTATGGGATTGAACCAGAGGCTCAGCACTATGCCTCTTTAGTGGACTTGCTTGGACGAGCTGGGAAATTACAGGAAGCCGTTTCTGTGGTCAAAGAAATGCCAATGCAGCCTACTGAATCTGTTTGGGGAGCCTTATTGACAGGGTGCAGAATCCATAAAGATACCGAAATGATAGCTTTTGTGGCGGACAGAGTATTTGAACTGAATAGTGCTAGCTCAGGTCTACATGTTTTGTCATCAAATGCTTTTGCTGCAGCTGGTAGATACGAAGAAGCAGCCCGGATAAGGAAAATGCTGCGGGATCGAGGTGTGAAAAAAGAGACGGGTTTGAGTTGGGTTGAAGAGGGAAACAGAGTTCACACATTCACTGCAGGTGATAGATCTCATGCAAAATGGGCAGAGATTTACAAGAAGCTAGAAGAGTTGGAGGAGGAAATGGAGAAAGCTGGTTATGTTGCAGACACGAGTTTTGTGCTGCGAGAGGTAGACGGCGATGAGAAAAGCCAGACGATTCGATATCATAGTGAAAGATTGGCCATTGCGTTCGGGCTTATTACCTTCCCGCCGGGGAGGCCTATAAGAGTTATGAAGAACTTGCGCGTTTGTGGTGATTGTCACGCAGCAATAAAGTTCATGTCCAAGTGCTCTGGGAGAATTCTCATTGTTAGAGACAACAACAGGTTTCATCGTTTTGAGGATGGAAAATGCTCGTGTGGCGACTATTGGTGATTGGTATGTAATTTAAGTTCGAAAATGCCCATGAATTATATGCAAAAGAACATACATATTTCTTTATAAAACTCATTCTTACAATTTGTTCTCCCATTTTTTACTTGTTGGGCTTTGTTGTGAAGTTTATTTGCTACTCAACCCTTCCTCAGAAGATAACAGTTTGAAAGCGTAGATTGTACTTTCAAACTAATCCTCCCATCACAATGCATTACCTTTCCCTTATGCTTAAGCCCTAAAATGCCTTCTACTTATTGTAGTGCTCCCATTGCATCAATGTTATTTTTCTCAGTGTTTGGTAATCATTAAAAATTATGTTGAAAATTAGACATAAATTTAAATAAGCTTTGTTATAAAGGTGGAAACATCATAATATAATTAGCAAAATAAACTATCATGCTATAAAAAAAGAGTCAAAGGTTGTAGATAAATAATTGAGTGCAACTCTCCCTGCGTCTGTATCCACAACAGAGAGTCTTTCATTTTATTATCTTGTCTATTTTTAATAAATGATCATATTAGTAGACTTAAAAAAATAACGAAAGAAAAAAACTCTTAACTATTCTCATTTAAATTAAACTATAAGGGCATCCCAGTTGGCAAGAGTTTGAGATCTCTTAGTCATACCGGCTTAGAAACCTCAAATTCGAACCTTTCAGTGAACCTAACACCAAAAATACTTGATGATCCAAATCTTGGGGTGAGCATGAGTAGCCTTAAGTATAGGGGAGCAAAGCTCTGACTCTCAATTATAAAAAAAAATAAAAATAAAAGTGACGCTCGTTTAAATTGTCATAAATTGTATGTAGTTTATTCATTACTTTCAAAACTGGATTACACTAAGAAGAACGTATTACATTATTTCAACAAAACAGACACTGACAATTCAAGTTGTGCCACAAGGAGTTCAGGTGCCTGAAATATGTATGTCTCCAAGTCTTTCTGATCAACAATGGACCCCAAATCCCCCAAAATCCAACCACAAATCCAATTGCCAGGCTTAAATAAAACCACTCATCAATATAATTTTCATCGCCTTCTTTTCCTTGTCCATTTTCTGCTACTGATGTCGTCTCTTCCTTTTTGCAGCTGTTGGTCAATGGAGGTCCACATAGCTGGTTGTCAATGAAGCTCGATGGATCTAAGCCTTGGAGTTGTGTACTTGTTGGAATTGCACCTGATAAGTTGTTGTGGGACAAGTTCAAGTAAGTCAAGAATGTTAACTTCGACATGCTTGGTGGTATTTGCCCCGAGAGTTGGTTTCTTGATAAATCAAGAGACTCCATATTTGTCATGCTTCCAATTTGTTGTGGAATAGTTCCTTTGAGATGGTTTCCTGAGAGATTCAATGATCTCAACTCCAAGAGATTGGTAATTTCACGAGGGATTTCTCCTTATATGGTGTTGTCTGGAAGGTCTATACTAGTCATGAGGGTCAAGATGTTATTGTACTGGAATTCTCCTCCTTTAGTTATCACATATGCATTCTCTAAAAATTCTCCATGGTAAAAAGAATAAAATATGTGTCCAAATGAATTCCTTTTGGTAGCCATGGCGGTAAAATTGCCAAAACAATGTGGTATAGACCCAATTAAGGTGTTTTTCCCAATGTCCATGATTTGTAGAGATGAGAGATGATAGAGCTCGTCTGGGATTACTCCACTCAACTTGTTTGATCGAAGTCCAAGAATCATGAGGTTCGAGAGATTCGTCCCCATCCATGCTGGAATGTTTCCTTGGAATGCATTTAGACTAAGATCCAAAGTCCTTAAATTCAAGCAATTTTTGAGAGAGTGAGGGATTTCTCCAGAAAGGCTGTTGTTTCGTAGGTGCAAAGACTTTAGTTTGCTTAGAGACCTCATGGAACTTGGTAACTTTCCAAATAAATTATTGTTTCCCAACTTCACAACTTCTAATGACGTCCACTTTGTACAACAATTCGGAATATTTCCTGATAAAAGATTGTCTCCAAGATGAAGAATCTCCAATCGATTATCTTGACTTGTTGAATGACATAAGAAGTGAGACATGTTTCCAGAGAATGAATTATTGGAAAGATCAAGCTCTGTAACATTAGATGATATGTGAGGTAGGTTGCCATGAAATTTATTGGAACTGAGGTATATCAATGTGAATTGAGCGTGAAGAAGAAAATCAGGAATTTCCCCTAACAGTTGGTTGGGAGAGAGATTCAAGTATAAATATGAAGTAGATAAACTCCAAAACCAATCTGGAATGGTGTCAGAAATTTTGGCATTAGATAGATCAACGTCAGTAAAACTCTTCTGTGATTTGAGCCATGTGGGAAACTGGGGACCTAAGTTGCAAGATCTCAACTGTATATGACGAAGTCTAAAAGGAGGAACCCACCCAATAGAGAAACTCATTGTCAAATTATTTTCTGATATATCTAATTGTATCAGATTCACAATATTAACAAAGTGAACTTCTGATACAATGCCTTCCAAGCGATTGTAAGAAAGGATCAGTTGTTGCAAACTCCATAGAGATCCCATGCTTTTTGGAACAGTTCCATTCAATCCATTTCCAGCAAGATTCAAATATTCTAATGAAGATAAATTTCCTATAAGCTCTGGAATAAGACCAGAAATGAAGTTACCCCCAATGTTAAGGAATTTCAAATTTCTTAGCTTTGCAATATTATTCTTGAAATGACCTGAAATATTAGTTCCTCCCAAATCCAAAAATCTCAAACTCTTTGCAAGGCATCCTGCTGAAAAAATGTCAAAGATTTCTGATAACTTTTGGCCAAATGTATTTCCTGACAGAGAAATGCTCCTCAAGTTGCAAAGAGTTCCTATTGAGCTTGGTATGGTCCCTTTGAGTTCATTCCAGGAAAGGTCAAGAGAAACCAAATTAGTAAGATTGACAATGTCATTTGAGATCTCCCCTTGCAAGTAAAGGGATTGAAGGTCTAAGTATTGAAGGTTATGGAGAGAATAGAGACAACTAGGTATGGAAGAATTGTAATTGAGATTAGATCAAGATATGTAAGTGCTGACAAATTTTGAATAGCACATGGAATTGGACCTTCAAAGCTACTGCCCTTCATCCTTATAGAAGTGATGCTTGTAAGACTAAACAACCATTCTGGTAGTGAAGAATTCAAGTAATTATATTCTAAGTTAAGGCTTTGGAGGGATGTCAAGTTCGAAAAACCTCTAGGAAGTGAACCTTGGAAATTACTTCCACTTAGGTCAAGTGAAACAAGGCTACCAAGATCAAATATCCATTTGGGTAAGAATTCATTGAAGTTGTTCGATGAAATGTCAAGAACAGAGAGAGAAGTGAAATTAACACGACTCAATGGAGTAATATGACCCAATTCACAGTAAGACAAACGCAGTTCCACGAGAGAAGGAAGCTTATTAATATCTAGCAACCAATTAGACACTTTTCTAAGGTTTGCATAGCTCAAATCCAAGCTCAACAATGAACGAAGACCTTGAAGCCATTGAAGATTTCCACTATTCGATCTAGGTCCAGAAAATGGAGAATTACCTCGCAAACCAAGTTGTTGCAAGTTTGATAGATTTCCAAGCTGATGAGGTATGAGTCCTTGAAATCCTGACCCTGTGAGGTTAAGATAATTCAAACTCACAAGTGACCCCAAAAAATCAGGAATTCGCAACCCTCCAAAATCGTTGTAACTTTGATCGATGTGACTTGCATGCTTTAAATTCAAGATCGAGTCGCTCAAATTACCCTTCAACTTGTAGTTTTCGAAAGAAATCCTCTCTGCTTCTGTTTCCCAAATAACATATCGAGTATTCGCAAGATTGAGTTCTTTGACATGGCCAGTGAAACTATCGCAACGAATTCCAACCCATTCGCAACAATCTGTTTGAGGAATCCAAGAAGAAAGACGATTTGACGAATCTTGGAGCTCTTTCTTGAATCTCAGAAGCGCGTCTCGCTCCATTTCAGTGCAGAGTGCATTTGATGATGATGATGAAGAATTGATGTTGGCATGAAAATTGATAGGAAGAAAAGAATTTCAAAGGCTCTTGCAAATCCAACTCCGTCCATCTTCTTGATGCCAAAGGCACATTCCAAAGGAGGTTGAAGAACTTACTAATAAATAACATGGTTTTTTAATAGACATTTATTGTATTGAAGGAAAAATTAAAAGGTAATTACATGGATAGCATAATATATGTGTTTCAAATATAGTAGAAGATTCTAAATTTTGTAAAAGAGAATATAATTCAAATTAAAGTGAAACTCAAATGTATGTAAAAGACATTGAAAGAAGTGGAATGATATTTTTCTAGAAAAACATCCTAATATAGTTATATAAAAAAGACACCTATTATCGAA